TGACTTGCATGCGTTCTCATTTAACTCACAAATGTACATCCTAGGGGCCATGATTAGCCTTTTTGAAAAGATGAGTCAACTGAGGCTCGTGGAAGTAAGTAACTTGTCCAGTTTGCCCAAGGCAATTTAGAGTTTAGACTCATTGACACAGATGGTGGTTAAACCATGAAAACGAATGAGCTCGGCTCACAACAACCCGTTTATTGGAAAGGAGAGTGGGGATGAAGGCCAGAACTCTGGAGAATATCAATATTTAAGGAGCGAGCTGAGGGAAAGGAGTACTCTCCAAAGAATAAGGAGAAGTGGTAAGAGAAACAGAAGGCCAGAAGAAATTTCGAAAGGAGAGTGCTCCATGGTGTCAATTACAGCAGAGGTGTTTTAGCAAAATAAGGTCGGAGAGTGTTCATTGCATTTGCCAAAGTGCAGGTCACTGGCTCGAGGGTGGGTGCAAAATTAGTGCCCAGGGGTTTGAAGAGCAGAAGCCCCAGTGAATGTCACTAGGTCCCAGCTGACTTTGGTGGGCCTCCCAGCCTGTTATAGCAAGAATCCATTACCAGCTCACTACTTGGAAATGTGGTTTTAGTCCTATTTCATTTGATTATTGCAAAATAGCATAATAATTCAATAGGGCTATTAGATGGAGATGGGGTGGGTGGCGAGCAGTCACCCATGCATAGGAGGAACTTTCCTAAAATGCCACTTATGATGACAAGAACCACAAGTGGAAGAGCAAAGGATAGTTTCTTTTCAAGTCTGGCATGAAGTGTCCTCAAAAGCATTAAAATAGGGGAACCCTGCACAATCCATCTTGCATTTCACCCTCTCCTCGTTTTGTTATTAATGAATATATATTAGATTGTCAACCATGAGCAGAAAAGCGTTTCTACCCCACAGCATATTACGTGGACTTGGTAGTGTCTTATTTATGCGTCATGGAATCTATGACCTATCACATGTGATAATCATGTCAGCTTATTAACATGTGAGAGTATAACTCCTGGCTTCAACCTCAGAGGGGAAACTGCTTAGGGTGGGGGGCATTCTGCTAGCCAGATGGGGCAGAGTTCTGCCAGCTTCCAGTGCCAGGGAAACCCTGGACAGTAATCAATACCAATCCACCCAAGGACCACCCAAGGACACGTGGCTGGGAACCAACCCCCCTTCCTACCTTGGTCTGATCTCTTGGCAAGTTTCCCTCCTAGTCCCAGCTTTGTTCCCACTTCCTTTAGGAGAAATCCAAAAACAGGAGTTATTTTAAAGAGGGTAAGGGTTGGGCAGCCACTGGCAGATGCTGGAAGGGTCATAAGGAAGAGGGTTCTGGTTAGTGACACCTCCCAGGGCTTCAAAATTTTCATAAGTACTGACTGATAGATTGAAGTGAAAGCAAATGCCAAGGAAAGATCTACACACGTTCAGAGATTCTGAGTTAGAAATGCTCTCCTTCCATCTCTTCCCAAAAGGAAATCACATGGGGAAGTCACAAAGTAGTGATTAAGGAACTAACTAATCAGGCCACCGTTCTCTGGGGCTTTCTAAGTTCCCAGGACAGGCACGCAGGGACATAAGCTTGTGCCCCAGCCACAGCTTCTCTCCTGGCATCTTTCTGCCAGATGGTCCTTCTCCAATTCTAGAGGTGCTTGGCCCTTCTGGTTCCTGCAACCTGAGCCAGAGAACTTTGGTCCACCAAATTTCCTCCCCCTTCATCCCTCCAGGAGAGGCAGGCTTGGGGACAGACGCGTGGTGCCCTGAGAAGGAGCCTCTGAGTGCCCCAGCTAGAGCGCTGGCTCAGGGGTTGGGAGAGAGCCTTCTCCTGCGCAGCCATCGGGCAGCAGGAGCCCACAGTTTGCTGCTTACTGGCTGAAAGCGCCCCCCACCCGGTCTTGAGTCTCCCTGTTCATAGGGTTATCCTGATGGCTTTAAAACTACAATCCAGAACCTCAACACATTACAAATGTTGTGTGAAAACGTAATCAGGGTGTGGATTCAATCCGCTAATAACTGTTAATTGAAAAAGAAAGGAAAGGGTGGAAAACACAAATCGATCCTGTAGGGTCTATGCCTGAAGTTTCTCGGGAACCTTCCCAGCGGCGTGGGCAGACACACACACACACACACACACACACACACACACACACACACACACACACACCCCACACCCCCCCACGCCTAGCCAACTCCCTGTGGTGATCTCCCGCGAAGGCTGGAGGACTTCGGGGCTGGGTCCCTGCAGCTGAGGCCTACAGGACACCCTGGGAAGGAGACACCTTCTGGAGGGGTTAAGATCCCTGCAAGCCGTTGGCACTCCTGTGGCCTCCCCAGGATTCTCTCAAGAAAGAGCTCGGGGACGGCGAGAGGGGCCCTGCCCTCTGCCTGGAGACCCTGTCCCAACGCGGGCTCTTTCCTTTCCCTGGGCACCCTGGGAGTGTGCCCCCAGGTCCCAGCTTCTGGGCTTGGAGAACACCCTGCCCCTCGTCCCCCACAGTCCTCAAAGGCCACAGCCATTCCTGCAAAGGGGCTCCCAGGCTGGACCAGCCCCACACAGTCGCCGGTATTTGAGCTTTCAGTCCAAGAGAAGTTTAGGGAAAATACTGTGCAAAGAAATTTATAATCACTTGTAGACATGGACATATCTGGTCGACAATGATCAAGCAGCCGTGTCTGGTGTTTCTGTTGAAACCGCTGGCATCCTAGGTGGTACTGATAAGATCGGTTGGTGGTGGTGTTATGTGAGTGACAGGTGGATGGTGCTCAGGCTGCGCCCGATTCCTCCCGAGAACGCGGCGCAATCTAAGTGGCGACGTCCGCTTCTGTTTGCACCCGTGCGTCTCCGACCTGAATTCCCTGGCGCTACCTCTCGGTCACCCACCCGGCTGACGGCCCACCCGGGACAAGGCAACTTGCTCCGAATGGCCATCTCCTCCCAACTGGGAAGGTGGCTGGGTGTCCAGGGGAAGCAGCACACCCCGGGTGTCAGAAGCCCCTGGCCCCTTACCCAGACCTTTATCACAGCGGGCAGTGTTCGGGACGCAAAGAAACGTTACAATGCAACTGTGTGGACGGGGGTGGAGGAGGAGAGAGAGACTGGCTAGGGCCTGCTCGGGTTCTGGGGACAAGCCCCGCAGCGCCCGGCGCGCGGAGGGGAGGGAAGAGCGGCCCTTCGGCCTTCCACCCAGGCTCACCCGGCAGGGCGCCCCGCGAAAACCTCTCCGCGCGATTAAGTCGCGTCTCTTGGAGCCGGTGGCACTGACACGTGGGACGCTCGGCTTAGGCTCGGCGGTGGAAATCCCCGCGGAAGCCCCCTCCTCCCCACGCTCCTACGCGGCTCCGGCCCACCGGGTGCGCGTCCACCTCCCACCAGCATCCCGCTCGCCCGGCCCCGCGGCGGCTGACAGATGTTTACTGCTCGGAGCCCCGACCGCTGGGGAGACACAGCGACGGGCGCGGCGCACCGCTCGGCGCTGGCGGGGCTCTGGGCTCCCGGTCGGGGGTGCGAGCGGGC